GTAAGGCTGAAAGTGGTGGGGTACCTAAACTATCCATCCATCATCTATCTATCTATCTATCTATCTATCTATCTATCTATCTATCTATCTATCTTTGCATGCCGCAAAGAGGGGGCTGCGGGGGTTTTTAAAATTGTCCTTGTTTAAACTTTTAAGGGGTTTGGGGAGGGGGGAGGGGGGTGGGATTGAAATTAGGGTTGTGGGTTTGGGGGATAACCCACTAGGGGGAGAGTCGGGCTTGGCCAGGACGTCCGGCGGGGGTGGCGGGGCATCCGGAGGGGGTCGAGCTGGTCCAGATTGTGTTTCTACCATCGGTACTGTGTGTGGGAGAGGTAGATATGGCGGGAGCAGGGGGCCATATCATGTTAAGGGAGCACGCGCCCACTGTCTTCAAGCGGTAGAGTGCTCCGGCCCCCAAAGCTCCACCCGTGCTCCAGGTAGTACAAACCTTCAGGGCCCGGGCCTTCGCCTGATGTTGTGCAACGCCAGGTCTGTAGTAAATAAAGCCCCCCTCATCTGTGATCTTGTTTACGAGGGGGGAGCGGACCTGGCGGGTATTACGGAGACCTGGTTGGGCCCAGAGGGAGGGGTCCCTCTGGTAGAAATGTGCCCACCAGGTTTCCACGCATTCCATCAGCCAAGGCCACAGGGGAGGGGCGGGGGAGTAGCGGTTATTATTAGAGAAGGCCTTAGGCCGAGGGAGACCACTGTACCTCAGACAGCTGGTTGTGAGTCCCTCTTTGTGAAGTGGGGCCATGGGGTTCAGAGGGGTTTGCTGATCACGTACCTGGCTCCCTGCCACGTGGCGGCAGCCCTGCCCGAGCTACTCAACGTTATTGCCGCGGTGGCGGTTGATACCCCCAGACTTATGGTCATGGGGGATTTCAACCTGCCATCCGTGGGTGAGGCGTCTGAGGTGGCTCGAGAGTTCATGGCTTCCATGACGGCCATGGACCTGACCCAACTAATTCATGGCCCTACGCACATTGGGGGAAACACACTGGACTTGGTTTTTGTCTCTGGACAGTGGTTGAGTGATCTTGAGATAGGGGATATAGTCATCGAGCCCTTGTCATGGTCAGATCACTCGCTCCTTCGCCTTGACCTTCGAACCGCGGCACCCCGCTGCAGGGAGGCGGAACCGGTAAGATGGTACCGCCCCAGGCGCCTGATGGAACCTGATAGGTTCCAGAGGGAGCTTGGGCCAATCCCGGAGGTTCTGGCTCACGCCTCGTCTGGGGACCTAGTGGCCGCCTGGGATAGGGCGGCTGCTGGAGCCCTGGACCGAGTCGTGCCTTTGCGGCCTCTGACCCGGCGCCGATCTCGCCTGGCTCCTTGGTTCACCGAGGAGCTGAGGGAGATGAAGCGCCGGAAAAGACGCCTAGAGAGCTGTTGGAAGGCCAGTCTTTCTGAATCTGACAGAACACTGGTAAGATCCCATGTTAGGAATTACCTAGTGGCGATAAAAGCAGCAAAATGTACCCATTTTGCTGCTCTTATTGCGTCATCAGATAATCGCCCGGCCACCCTGTTTAGGGTGACCCGCTCCCTGCTCCATCAGGAAGCGCGGGAGGACCCCTTGGAGGGAAGAGCCGAGGATTTTGTTCAGTATCTGTATGACAAAATCACTCAGATTCGGGCAAGTCTGGACTCTGACGGGATAGATCCAGCGAGGGTGACGGAGACAGGTCTTGAGACTGTTATCTGGGATGAGTTTGATCCTGTGACCCCAGATGACGTGGACAGGATTCTGGGTAGATTGAACGCGACCACATGTTTGTTGGACCCGTGTCCCTCCTGGTTAGTGCTGGCTTCCCGGGAGGTGACGCGAGGCTGGCTCCAGGGGATTATAAATGCTTCGTTGGGTGAGGGTGTCTTTCCCGCCGCCCTGAAAGAGGCGGTGGTAAGGCCTCTCCTCAAGAAGCCATCCCTGGACCCGGCAATATTGGCTAATTATCGTCCAGTCTCCAACCTTTGCTTTGTTGCGAAGGTTGTTGAGAGTGTGGTTGCGCGACAGCTACCCCAGTACCTGGATGAAGCGGCGTATCTAGATCCGTTCCAGTCGGGCTTCAGGCCTGGGTACAGCACGGAAACGGCATTGGTCGCGTTGGTTGATGATCTCTGGAGGGCTCGGGACAGGGGTTGTTCCTCTGTCCTGGTCCTGTTAGACCTCTCAGCGGCTTTTGATACCATCGACCATGGTATCATGCTGCACCGGTTGGAGGGGTTGGGGGTGGGAGGCACCGTTTTACGGTGGTTCTCCTCCTTTCTCTCTGACCGGTCGCAGTCTGTGTTGACAGGGGGGCAGAGATCGACCCCGAGGCCCCTTATATGCGGGGTGCCGCAGGGATCGGTTCTCTCGCCCCTTCTGTTCAACATTTATGTAAAGCCGCTGGGCGAGATCATCCGTGGTTTCGGGGTGAAGTACCATCTGTACGCTGACGACACCCAGCTGTACATCTCCACCCCGAACCACCCCAACGATGCCCTTGAAGTGATGTCCCAGTGCCTGGAGGCCGTACGGATCTGGATGGGGAGAAACGGGCTCAGACTCAACCCATCCAAGACCGAGTGGCTGTGGTTTCCGACGTCCCGATATAGTCAGCTGACGCCATCGCTGGCTATTGGGGGCGAATCACTGGCCCCCACGGAAAGGGCTCGCAACTTGGGCGTCCTCCTGGATTCACGGCTGTCATTAGAAGAACACCTGACGGCCGTGACCGGGAGGATTTTTCATCAGGTTCGCCTGATTCGCCAGTTGCGTCCCTTTCTAGATCGGGACTCGTTACGCACAGTCACTCATGCCCTCGTCACCTCTCGTCTGGACTATTGTAACGCTCTCTACATGGGGCTCCCCTTGAGGTGCACCCGGAGGCTCCAACTGGCGCAGAGTGCGGCCGCGCGGGTGGTTATGGGAGCAACATGGAGCTCCCATGTAACACCTCTCCTGCGCGAGCTGCACTGGCTCCCGGTGGTCTTCCGGGTGCGCTTCAAGGTGTTGGTTACCACCTTTAAAGCGCTCCATGGCTTAGGACCTGGTTACTTACGGGACCGCCTACTACCATCAACAGCCTCCCACCGACCAGTACGCTCCCACAGAGAGGGGCTCCTCCAGGTGCCGTCGGCCAAACAATGTCGGCTGTCGGCCCCCAGGGGGAGAGCCTTCTCTGTGGGGGCCCCGACGATCTGGAATGAGCTCCCCCCAGAGATACGGAGGATTCCGGATCTGCGCACCTTCCGCCGCGAGTTGAAGACGCTTTTATTTCATCAAGCCGGCCTCGCCTAATTCTTCTCCCTTTAAACTGTAAATTTTAAATTTTTAAATGTATTTTAAAATTATGGGTTTTTAATCAGTATTAATTTCAGCCAAATTTATTTAATTCATTTTACTTGATCTTAAATTTTGTATATTTATGTGTTTTATCTCATGGCTGTGCACCGCCCTGAGTCCTTCGGGAGTAGGGCGGTATAGAAATTCAATAAAATAAAATAAAATAAAATAAATAAATATCTCTCATTCATCCGTCTGTCTGTCTGTCTGTCTGTCTGTCTATCTATCTTCTATCTATCTATGGTATCTATCTATCTATCTTCTATCCATCTTCTATCTATCTATCTATCTATCTATCTATCTATCTATCTATCTATCTATCTATCTATCTATCTATCTATCTATCTAATAAACAGAGTCCAGAGACCCTGGGACATCCATGCAAACAATGGCCTTGGTAGAAAGATGGCTGGCAACAATATACAGAATACAGAATAACGGAGTTGGAAGGGACATTGGAGGTCTTCTAGTCCAACCCCCTGTTTGACCCTACGGCCTATACGGTTTCAGACAGGTGGCTGTCCAGTGTCTTCTTAAAAGCCTCCAGTGTTGGAGCAATCACAACTGTTAAAGGCAAGTCCTTCCGCTGATGAATTGTTCTCACCATTAGGAAATTTCTCCGTAATTCTAGGTTGCTTTTCTCTTTGTTCCGTTTCCATTCATTGTTTCTTGTCCTGCCTTCTCGTGCTTTGGAGAATAGGTTGAAACCCACCCACCCCCTTTCTTTGTGGCAACCCCTCAACTATTTTATAAATTTATTTGTCTCATTTCTATGCCGCCCAACTCTCTGGGGACTCTGGGTGGCTTACAACAAAAAATAATGCGAACAATATACCATAAAAGTTGTTTTAAAAAAACATTAAAAACCCATACACTCCATTTATGGCCGGGTCTTGCAAGATCGCAACAGCGAGATCAATGGCTCCAGGCCTGCCGGAAAAGCCAGGTCTTCACCGCTTTCCGGAAGGCCAATAGGGTGGGGGCGGTCCGGACCTCAGGAGGTAATTGGTTCCAGAGAGCCGGGGCAGCCACAGAGAAGGCCCTCCCCCGCGGGCCCGCCAACTGACATTTTTTAGCTGACAGGACCCGGAGGAGACCAACTCTGTGGGATCTTACCAGTCATTGGGAGGTATGAATGAATACATAACATCATAAGTAAATATGCTCCCCATCTCACCATCCAGTGACTCTGGGTGGCTTACAATCTCGAAATCCGTAGTATAAAAAACAACCAGAAAATTAAAACATTTTAAAAAACGGTAGGTGTGAAAAGCGAATACGTTAAAAGGAACGCCGTTAGAAAGAGGTGGTGGATGCAAAAGACCAAATGTCTTCCTAATGTCCCTTTTTATTTGTATCCATTTCACGTGTTTGTAATCATGTTTATACTTTTATCCGTTATCTTATGTATGCTTGACAAGTAAATAAATAAAAAAATAAATAAAATGTTTAAACCGGGTGCAGGTGGGATGGAGAAATAGGGGTAAATCTATCTTTAGAGAAGAATTATGTGTGTCCTGTTTTGCAAACCGGATGGGTGTCCTTTACGCTCCTTTGCTCATCCTACGAGGAGGGGAGGCGCATGACCTGTTAAAGCACATTATTGCAATTCCCATCTAGAGGGAATGGGAATTCGTGGCTTGCACAGAGAGCAAAGGGGAGGGGGGGAGAAGAGGGAGGGTCGAGGGAAAGACACAGCCGCCTGTTTGCAGAGTGAAGATGCATCCACTCTGAGAAGCGGCTGCTTGCAGCTTTCTGGCCCCTCGTCTCCGCACGAGGACTGCTTAAATCTGTTCCTCCCCTCCCTTGCACAGAAACGGAGAGACTGGTCCGGAGGCTCCTCCTTTCTCTCCTATGAAACTGAGTCAAGTTTCCTCTTAGGGTGCATAGTGGGAGGTGGTTTTTTTTTTGCTTCACTCTGCCAGGCAGGAAGGTGCCAGCTGCATCTCCCACACCGTCTCCTGCTTGAAAAATAAGCTTGGGTACCTGAAGGAGCCACTGTATCTCTCCTTGGGTGCAGCGCTGGGGAGCCAAGCGATGCATCTCAACACAACTTCTTCCCTCTACCAGCTGGGATATCTTATGAGTGAGTTTCAACTGCCCTCTGCTAATTCTGTCCTGCCCGAAGCAGAGAACCTCTCCAATGGTTCAGGACTTGGGTCCATGATCCCACCCAACGAGGAGGATCTGGATGTGAACACGGACATCTACTCCAAGGTGATGGTGACCATCATCTACCTGGTGCTCTTCTTGCTGGGGACGGTAGGCAACTCCATCACCGCTTACACCCTGGTGAGGAAGAAGTCCCTGCAGAACCTCCAAAGCACCGTGCATTATCACCTGGCCAGCTTGGCGTTCTCCGATCTGCTCATCTTCCTCCTCTGCATGCCCATCGAACTCTACAACTTCATCTGGGTCCATCACCCCTGGGCTTTCGGCAACGACGTCTGCAAGTGCTACTACTTCCTGAGGGATGCTTGCACCTACGCGACGTCTCTCAACATCGCCAGCCTCAGCGTCGAGAGGTACATGGCCATCTGTCACCCTTTCAAAGCCAAGAGCATCATGTCCAGGAGCCGGACCAAAAAATTCATCAGTTGCATCTGGGTGGCCTCCTTCCTGCTCGCCATCCCGATGATCTTAATCATGGGCGAGATCTACAGGATACCCCAAGATCCCGACTCGCTGGTCTGCACCCAGATTGTGGATGATTCCACGCTGAAGATTGCCATTCAGGTGAGTCTCTTTGCCTGCTTTTCTTTTAGCTTAGGGTGAGTAGCTTGTCTCCATTGCGCCAGGGTCTAGCTATATTTAATGCCTACGATTCGGAGATTAGTTAACGGCTTTAAAAAGAGAAGGAGAGAAGCAAATATAGGCAGAGAGTGGGGTTTTTTTCTATAAATCCATAAGCTCTTCCTTGTCAGGACAGATGGCAGCAGATGCTTAAACACACACAGTGCCCTATGTTGTTTGACAGTTTGGAATTCGTGCGTGCAGCTGGTCCCTGAAGACTTGAGCCAGTTCACTAAACTTTGCAAAACAACCATTTGTGTCAAGACTGTTTCACAGGGTGCATTCTTCAGAAGAACATGGGGAGGGGGGGAGAGAGACGAAAGGTACGTGTGCTGACAACACTTACTTCCAAACGGGTCAGTCCTACGGGAACAGGAACAAAGTGCAAAAGTCTAAGAGTGCCATTCAGTGCGTCCACGGTTTGCAAAACCAGCTTCGTTGCTCTGTGTTGTCAGAAATACTGGAGGATGCAAGCAAGGTGGAGCATGAGCTGCTTTGGTGAAATCAGAATTGGGAGCTGCACAAAAACTGGGCAACCGCCTACACTGTACAAACCAACCGAATTGCACTGATTTTTCTCTTGTTTTTATGTCACTCATTCGGTGAACTTTTAGTCTTCCGTATAATTTTGTCCACCTCTGCCCTTTGAAAGTGGTTGGATTTTTCACAACAACATGTGGAGAGAAAGAAAAAAAAAAGAGAGAGAGAGACGAAGGAAGGAAGGAATGAAGGAAGGGAGAGAGTGAAAGAAGGAAGGAAGGAAGGAAGGAAGGAAGGAAGGAAGGAAGGAAGGAAGGAAGGAAGAGGGAGGATGGAAGGAGAGAGAGAGAGAGAAAGAAAGAGAAGAAAGAAGGAAGGAAGGAAGGAAGAGAGAGAGAAAGAAGGAAGGAAGGATGGAAGGAAGGAGGAGAGAGTGAAAGAAGGAAGGAAGGAAGAGGGAGTGAAAGGAGGAAGGAAGGAAGGCAGGCAGGCAGGCAGGCAGGAAGGAAGGAAGGAAGGAAGGCAGGAAGGAAGGAAGGAAGCGGGAGGGAGGGAGGGAAGGAGAGAGAGGAGGGAAGGAGGGAAGGAAGAGGGAGGGAGGGAAGGAAGGAGAGAGAGAGGAAGGAAGGAAGGAGGAAGAGAGAGAGTGAAAGAAAGAAAGAAGGAAGAGAGAGAGAGTGAAGGAAGGAAGGACGGGAGAGAGAGAGTGAAAGTTAAAAGGAAGGAAGGGAGGAAGGAAGAAAGGAAAGAAAGAAAGAAAGAAAGAAAGAAAGAAAGAAAGAAAGAAAGAAAGAAAGAAAGAAAGAAAGAAAGAAAGAAAGAAAGCTGTAATCCACAAGAACCGAGTGTTGACTTCAGCGCAAAACAATCAGGAACATTTTCCCCCTATTCATTAAACCAACTCTCTAGAGCGATGGGATCCAAAAAAAATTTCAAAACATTTGCTGCTCCAAATTTAGAATTGCATGTTGCAATTGCTTTTTGAAAAAATCCAAAGAGGATGAAGGGATTTTCATTTGCCAGAGCAGAATCGAGACGCATTTTGCTTTTATAGCCCTCTTAGCGTGTAATGCATGACATTAAGAAGCAGAAAGTGTTTCCAGCACCACAAATCCATGCAATAATTTGAAAAGCAGATTCTCTCCCCTAAATTTGTTTCCCTCGTCTGCTTTGCTAATTCCTCATCTTTACTCAGGGAAGAATCCAGTTGCATACAGTAGAACTTCTGAGAAGTCATGCACGGAATGACATCGTTTACCTCCAATTTCCCCTTTCTTCCACACGACCCCAAATATAGCATTTTCTGGAGGTTGCAACACTCTTGTTATTTTACCCTCCTCCCTAGAAAAGTCGCTAAATAGAATGCTTCAATGTGAGAGTGATGGTTTTGAAAGAATGCTGAGCAGCAAGTATTTATTGTTAAATATTTATCAACCTCCTCAATCGATAAAGGCTCTGAAGAGAGACCTCAAAACCAAAATGCTTACCTTATAATAGCAGAAATAGAAATAATTAACAATACTATTATCAAGAGAGCCACCCACAAATTCCATGTGTTAAAGGCTGGCTAAAATAGCATAGCTTTCTGGAATGCAGGCAGATGTTGGAAGCAGATGTGCTTCTGGGACCACATGTTCTTCAAGGTGAGGGTCTCTGTTGAGGAAGTCCGTCCTAAGACAGAACTCTTAGTAGAATAACAGAGTTGAAAGGGATCTTGGAGGTCTTCTAGTCCAACCCCTTGTTCAAGCAGGAAACCCTATACGGTTTCAGACCAATGGTTGTCCAATCTCTTCTTAAAAGTCTATGGAGATTCTCAGTCATCCAGGTCACTGGTGTCCCAAAGGTGCTTTTTTCAAGAGGCAAACTGGACTTTCTGGTTTGAAGACGTTTTGCTTCTCATCCAAGAAACTGCTGCTGCTGCTGCTCCTTCTCTTTCTCCACCTCCTCCTCGTCCTCTTCATCCTCCTCCTCCTTCTTCCTCTTCTTCTTCTTCTCCTCCTTCTCCTTCTCCTTCTAAATCTCCAGCGATGGAGCACCCCCAACCTTTCTGGTTTTTCTTTGAAGACGTTTTGCTTCTCATCCAAGAAGCTGCTGCTGCTCCTTCTCCTTCTTCTCCTTCTTCTCCTCCTCTTCTCTTTTTCCTCCTCCTCCTCCTCCTCCTCCTCCTCCTCCTCCTCCTCCTCCTCCTTCTTCTTCTTCTTCTTCCTCCTCCTCTTCTTCTTCTTCTCCTCCTTCTAAATCTCCAGCGATGGAGCAACCCCAACTTCCGAAGGCAAGTTGTTCCACTGGTTAATTGTCAGGAAATTTCTCCTTAGTTCTAAGCCGATCAGTTTCCATCCATTGCTTCTTGTCCTGCCCTCAGGTGCTTTGGAGAATAGTTTGACTCCCTCTTCTTTGTGGCAGCCCCTGAGATATTGGAAGACTGCTATCATGTCTCCCCTAGTCCTTCTTTTCATTAAACTAGACATACCAAGTCCCTGCAACCGTTCTTTGTATGTTTTAATAAGGTAGACCCTGATATATCCTAATGCCTTATTTCATGGAGCTTTACAGGTGAACATTTTGAGCCTAACTTGGAAAGCAACCAGTGGACAGTGTGGTGTCCTCAAAAACTGTTATTCGGCATAAACAGATTGTCCAAACTAACAGTCATGTTGTCCGTTGGAGATTCTCAGTCATCCAGGTAACAGTTGTCCCAAAGGTGCTTTTTTCAAGAGGCAACTGGACTTTCTGGTTTTTCTTTGAAGATGTTTCACTTCTCATCCAAGAAGCTTCTTCAGCTCTGACTGGACTCAGCTGCCAGTCAGAGCTGAAGAAGCTTCTTGGATGAGAAGTGAAAAGTCTTCAAAGAAAAACCAGAAAGTCCAGTTGCCTCTTGAAAAAAGCACCTTTGGGATAATAGTCATGTCGTTGCATTCTGCACCAGTGGTATCTTCTCAGTATTCTGCTAAAGCCACACTCCATGGAGCTAGTAGTAAGAATCCTAATAGGAGACAATCAAGGTATGAGTCACAATTGCAGGAAAAATTGTAGGTTGGTGATTGGTGCCCTGGTTACACCTTGGTCATTGTTTTCACCTGTTGCTCTGGCAGGAGCTGTGAATCTAGAAGCTTTTTCAGTGGAAATACAGGTAGTCCTCTGCTTACGACTACAATTGAGCCCAGCATGTATGTTGTTAAGCGAGCAATTTGTTGAGTGAGTTTGGCCTCCATTTTACGACTTTTCTTGCCACGTTGGTTCAGCGGATCATTGCCATTGTTAAATTAGTTAACCCGGTTGTTAAGCGAATCGGGTTTCCCCATTGACTTTGCCTATCAGAAGGTCGCAAAAGGGGATCACACACGACCCCGGCGACACTGCCACAGTCATAAATGTGAGTCGTTTGTCAAGCATCTGAATGTAAATCACGTTATAATGGTCATAAGTGTGAAAAACAGCCATAAGTCAGTTTTTTCAGTGCCGTTGTAACTTCAAACGGTCACTAAATGAACTGTTATAAATCGAGGACTACCTGTATAACCTTAAAAAGGCTGGGATCAATCCCATTGAAAAGGAACTCTGTCTCAGTATGTTTCAATCTAAGACAGCGATGGCTAATCTTTTTGCCGTCATGTGCCAAAAGCGGGGGGGAGCGCAGGGAGGTTGCCCACGTGTGTGCCCACACCCATAATTCAATGTGCCCTGTGCATGCGCGCACGCCCTCCCCTCCCAGCTTTTAACACACGATGGTCCAGTGGGCCCAGTAGGCCCGTTTTTCACCCTCCCCAGGCTCCAGAGGCTTTCTAGGAGCCTGGGGAGGGCAAAAACAGCCTTCCCCACTCTCCGGATGCCGGACACAGCCCATTTCCCTACTTCCGGTGGGACCAGAAGGCCCAAAAATCAGCTGGCTGGCGCACGCATGCGTGCTGGAGCTGAGCTACTGTAATATCTTGCGTGCCCACTGATATGGCTCTGTGTGCCACCTGTGGCACCCGTGCCATAGGTTCGCCATCACGGATCTAAGCTATTCTCCAAGCATCAGTTTGAGATCTCATCAGGATTGGTTCAAGAACTCCCTCACATTATCATGTATATCAGTGAATATTATCGCAGAAAGAGCTTGCAAACTTCCAGTGCTCTAATTAGGACTTCCAATTCCATTTTAGAGGGAGCAGAATACCGGAAATGCTCTTGTGGAAATTTAATTCCATTTATATTTGAATACGCTACTGTTTACATGTGCATTTATACACTGAAAACTAAATTGTGTTGAAGGGTTTGGCCTAGAAATCAGGAGATTGTGAGTTCTAATCCCATTTTAGGCATGAAAGCCGACTGGGTGACTTTGGACCGATCACCAGGAAGCTGGGAGTTCTAGTCCCACCTGAAGCATGAAAGCTGGTTGAGAGACTTTGGGCCAATCACTAGGCGACTGTGAGTTCTATTCTCGCCTTAAGCGTGAAAGCTGGCTGACATTAAGCCTG